TCTCTTGGATTGAGTTCCACCTTGCTAACCCAACAGTTCTTTTTTTTTTTTTAAGATTATATTTATTTATTCATGAGAGAGAGAGAGAGAGAGAGAGAGAGAGAGAGAGGGGCAGAGACACAGGGAGAGGTAGAAGCAGGCTCCATGCACAGAACCTGACATGGGACTCGATCCAGGGTCTTCAGGATCACGCCCTGGGCTGAAGGTGGCGCTAAACCACTGAGCTACCCAGGCTGCCCTAACCCAACAGTTCTTAAAGCATAATGCAAATGCAGAGATCACTGGGAAAAGATAGCACATCTATATAATTTCACTAACACTGAAGACATTGGTAAAGCTACATAAAAGTTTTTTGTTTTGTTTAAGACAAAAGCTAGCAATATAATGGACACACATTCCGGCAGAACACCAAGTGTGAAAATCAACATTCAGCTGACACCAAATGTCACCATTATATGAGATACTAGAAGGTGAAAATAAATCAAATTCTAAAACTTATATTACCTCTCAGTACTAAATTTTTTAGAAATCATTTCTCAGCACCAAGAGCTACTAGTTTTATCCTTTGGTCACTATAATGCCTCTATGTAATACTACACAGATGCCCACTTTAAAACTAAGTCATTAGAGAATCAAGATAAATTTGGGCTAGTTTTGCCAATTTAGATACTTGTAAGAATGATGGTATTACTCAATTACTGGGCTTTCTTGCCTCTCATATAAAAATTGATGAATATTATTGATGATAATAAAGCAGCAATTACTGGGATTTCTTGCCTCTCATATAATAATTGATGAGTATTTCCTCTTTCATTCCTAGGTTTGGAGATTCGATTGATGGTGATGATGCAATTTCATTAAAATAATTCCATAAGCTGAAATTTTGTACATTGCTTGATGATGCCTTCTAAATGTTTTCAGATAAGTCTAAGATTGCTGTCCTTATATTTTTAAAAAATATTTTTACGTGTACTTATTGCTTCACACGATCACTTGAGAAAGCTTTGTCTTTAAACCTAGGACCTAAAAGTTTAACAATGGAGCAATGTAATTGGCTTCCATGATGCCAAAAAGTAATGAATTTCCATCTGTATCTCGGTTTTTATTTCATCCATGCCAATGAAGAGAAGAGAAGAATGGCAGGACTTTTATAGCAAAGATTATATAAGAAATACTTAAACATGTCAAGGTATACCTGTTTGGTTATTTAAGAAGGTACAAGTAAAAGAAGTGCTTTCTTTATAAACAACCACTGTTTATTATTAAGTCATGTTATTGTTTCCTTCAGGGTATAAAATTAAGGCTATTTTGTTCAAGTAGCCCTCTTTAATATATAAATTCTCTTCCATTTTATTTTAGTATCTTACAAATTACATCACAAGAGATTTGAAAATCTTTACTAAGTCATGAAATTTTCCTTAGGCCAAAAGAAGTTTTTTACTCCTAGAATCTAAAATCAATAGTACTCTAAATCAGGTAAAAGGGGCCCTAGCTCTGAGACTCTCTTTAACTATGCCCACACAACACAGGCGGAGGAGTGCATAGGGCACAAGTAAAGTTCCCACTCAACACCTGTGCCTTATCCCCTTCAAGGCCATACTCCAGATACCCAGAACCATAAAGTTCCCTGACCAAATGGCCTAGATCCCAATGCCAAGACCTCCTCCTGAGTCATCCTTCTTTTTTTATTTATTTATTTATTTTTTATTTATTTGTGATAGAGAGAGGGGGGGGGGGCAGAGACACAGGCAGAGGGAGAAGCAGGCTCCATGCACCGGGAGCCCGACGTGGGATTCGATCCCGGGTCTCCAGGATAGTGCCCTGGCCCACAGGCAGGCGCCAAACCGCTGCGCCACCCAGGGATCCCCCTGAGTCATCCTTCTGAAGGCAGATCATGCCACCACTGGGTACATGCCCAACTGGAAGAATGTTAAAGGGTGGCTGTTTGCAGAGGGTACAGATGGAGTTTGGACAAAGGACCTGAGGTATGTGTGAGGTCTTTCAAAATGCACAGAGCCAAGTGTAGGAAGGTAGGGGGCAGGCCAGGGGCTGACTCTCTCCATAACACCATGTTCCAAAACAGAACCCTAGAAGCTAAGAGTTCCTCATTTGATCTCACACTTCCAGATCTACATAAGGATATATCTGCCAAGAAGAAAGATAGAAATTTTTTTAAGTTTGTAGATTGTTGTATAATCTTAAACTACATAGCATATGTTACACGAGCCTGTTTGTATTCCTGTCTCAGGCCCAACTGTTAAAGTGAACTTGTCTAGAATGCTTATATTTTGGGATGCCTGGGTGGCTCAGCGGTTGAGCATCTGCCTTTGGCTCAGGGCATGATCCTGGAGTCCTGGGATCGAGTTTCGCACCGGGCTTCCTATGTGAAGCCTGCTTCTCCCTCTGCGTGTGTCTCTGCCTCCCTCTCTGTGTCTCTCATGAATAAATAAAATCTTTAAAAAATATTTTACATTATTGTACTGACATCACTGCACTGACTAAATATAACAATAACCTGGAATGGTCTTTTCCCAGATTTTGATATATGACTGATTCTCTTTTATTATTCAGGTGCCAGCTTATACATCATCTCTCAGAGAAGTCTTCACTTACTACTTAATATCAAATATCCCTCATGAATCATCCTTCATCATGTTTCCTTTATTTTCCTCACTGCCCATATCAATATCTGAAAATGGTAACAAAAATTCCACCACAGCAGGAACCTTGCCTGCCTTGTTATTCATCTATAGAAAACTGTATTCTTATTTAATGCCATGGGTTATAATCTTAGCTATCATTTCTTTTGTGGGTCAAATTGCCCCAGATCTGCTTAGAATGTTATCCTGTATCCTTTTGACATGTTCATATATATTTTAATTATATTTTTATTATATATATTTACTTAAAACATAGATATATATATTTGGCATTTTCTTACTTTCTGACACAGCAAGATGTTCCAGGGTCATCTTATACTTATAAATGTTACTGTCCAAGAAATGAGGAGTCCTCATTTTCTATGATTCCCAGTTCCATTTTGTATTCAATAATTACAATGATGACACACAAAATTAGAGACTAAAGTGAATTTAACCAAATAATTCTACTCTATGAGGTCTGGCTCCACCTTAGTAATTAGCTGATATCCCTAGACATTTCTAGCTCGCCAAATAATTACAGAAATAAGTAATTAGGACTCTATCTTCAAATGGTATTTAAAAGAAATAATATCAAATTTTCAAAATATTAAGTAACAAAAAATATTGTACATTGGTGCTAAGACCAAGACTTCAGGAAAGCACTCCTACAATGCAGAGGAGGCTATTAGGTTTTTGTTAGTGAGGTTATTTATTGGTTTTATAAACTCAACACAGTTATCCTGTGCAAGTAAATGGGAATGTTCTGGAATGTGAGTTATTCCATTACATACTAGCTCTGTCTTCAGTAAAGTTACTCCATTGTTCCAAGCCTCAGTTTCTCCTTTATAATGACAGGAATAACAATGCTTATCCTATAGGGTTGCTATAAGGCAGGAGGCACAGTCCTAGCATGTTATGAGGGCTCACTGATGCCCAATATCATTATGGTGCTGGACAGAGTTTAGTTACATGACCTTTAATATATAAAGAAGGAGCTTAGAAGTTTCCACAGGGCACATGCAGTATTTCCTCTTAACCTAGCAAGCCAACGATGTTAATAAAGCATTATTTAATGTCGTGCATTTATTTTCTTTCCAAGCATCTGCTTTACTCAAGAAACCTTAGGGAACTTACAGTTTTGCATTCTTTTATTTCTTTTGGGAAAATTCTAGGATTGTAATTAAACTGTTCAGGAAAAAAAATGCATTATTTTACAGCTTAGCTACATATGCTAAATTGTTATTCAGAAAGGTTAAACATTTTTTTAAAACATTGCCAGTAACGGGGTTCTGAGTTATTTTTAGAAGCCCGAAGGACATTATTTTCTCATTGTAACATTTGTTGGGGGTTCACCATTGTGCAACCAAATTATGTTGGTTAAAGTCACATTGCTATTGAAGTTCACTTTAATGAACCATCTACCCATTTAATGTTAGTCAAAAATTAAGCCATCAGAAGGTATTTCTAATTGCAGTATCTTTAGTATATGAAGTTGATTTGCTGTAGCATCTTTAAGCAAACAAGAAAAAACAAAAGAAATAAAAGAATGCAAAACTGTACATATAAAAGTATTCATTATAACATTTAACATTGTTTATAATAGCAAAACATTAGAAAGAGTCTATATATTCAATAACAGATGATGGACTAAATTGTAGGAGACCTATGTAATGGAAAAGTACATAGCCAATAAAAATAATGACACGTCTATATTTATTGATATGGAAAGATGATCATGGTATATCTTCAAACATATTTCACAGATTTTGAGAGAATATACATGATTCCTGTTCTTTTTTAAAAAAAATACACTGTATGTATCTACTGTATGCTATGCCTAACTATGTGTAAGTATAGATACTCAAGTACAGATAAATATCCAAGTATAGAAGGATCTTTACCAAAATACCAACACGATCAATATATGTATAGGTGAAGAACTTGGAGTGGCTTTAAATTTTCTTTATACTTTTTTCCCTTTTCTTCAGTTTTTGAAATAAGTATGTATTACTTTTATCATCACAAAAGGTTTAAATACCAATCAACCGACCACTGAACCATTAAAAAAAAATCTCATTATCTAACTTGTCCCATGTCTCAAGCACTGATAACTGCCAAAATGCCCTGGAGTAAAATGAAGCAGGTATACTACTTCTTAGGATAAAGGAGGGCCTATAATTCACAAATTAGCCAACCTAGAGAACTTTTGGGGTATGTTATCAGGCATTACTACTTAGCATATCCCTGAGGTCCAGAAATTTGTCAGATAAAGGAAAAAAATTTTCCTGCTACAAGTTCTCCTTCACAGAGAGAAACAGTATAGGTATTATACATACTTAGAGGTAGGAAAAAACTTACTGCAGTGGATAATCTGGATGCCAATGTCATTTCCAAGTTCCCTTTGAGACCAAGGAGTGCAGGAACTAAAATGAAAACTTCTGTTACTTTTTTGAACACCTCCCAGTGCTATAAAGGAAAAACAAAGAGAATTTTCTGACACACTTTAAAAAAACACTTTAGAAAAAAGACATTTCTAAAAATCTCAGCCTTTCTTTTTTCCAATGTTGCATCAACATTTTGAATAACACAGGTCATTTAATCAGTGAACATTTAGCTTAACCCCATTCTGCAGAGCTCTGAAGCCTTGCTTGAGTCGCTTTAGAAGACTGAGTTAAATTGGGAGTGATAGCTGATACAGTCACTATATCCCCAAATACCTCTAGCTTGCTACACAGTTCTGATACCCTTGAATTTTATTTTATCCGTTAATGAGGACAGGAATCAGTATAACTAGTAGTTAAGAGTACACACTCAAGAACCAGACCATCTAACTGGACTTGAATCTTGGTTCCAACACTAATGACAACAATCTCACAGGATAATTACAGTATTATTTAATTTAGCAAATGGAGAAATAAAGATTTAAAGAAATTAAATGATTTTCCCAAGGCCAGAAAATGCGACCTAGAACAGAACTCAGAAGTTCTGAGTCATTCCATGTTCTGGTCCCCATTTTAGGGACCAGAGGCAACAGGCTACAGTGCACAGGATCATTAAAAAAAAAAAGCCCTAAATTGGAAATTAGAAAATCTGTGATTCTAGGCATGGATCTGTCATAACCTAGCTGCATAATTCTGGATGAGTCATATGTCTTTTGGATCTCCATTGCTACATCTATGAAATGAAGATCCCTGTCTGCTCTAGCCCTTAGGAAAATACCATGATAATGAAAATAACATATTAAAATACTTTATAAAGTGAAAAAACCCACACAATTCACTTACTAACCTGCCATTTACTAATGCTATTAAGAGGTGATTGTCCCAGGAAGAGACTTTATGGATTCGCATGCTGATTTATGCCCAAAAATATCAAGAATGCAGCCTTGTCATTAATACCAAGACAAGTGAGAAAAGTAAAACTTAAATTCATCAGATAAATGAAAGAAAAATCCAATTTGTCCCCACAGTTGCCTTAGTGGTTGTTCCAAATAAGTATAGAACTAGAACCTAAAGAGGTTAGGAAATGTTTATCAGATCTTTGGTCAATCCTGGTTCAAAGGATATGCAAGGGAATCCCTCCAGGGTTCAAGTCAAGTAAGAATGAGCCTAAAAAAAGCACTGGGGTCCCGGTTGGTCCCAGATTTCTTTTCTTTTTTATTTTATTTTATTTGTTTATTTACGATAGTCACACAGAGAGAGAGAGAGAGAGGCAGAGACACAGGCAGAGGGAGAAGCAGGCTCCATGCACTGGGAGCCCGACGTGGGATTCGATCCCGGGTCTCCAGGATCGCGCCCTGGGCCAAAGGCAGGCGCCAAACCACTGTGCCACCCAGGGATCCCGGTCCCAGATTTCTTAATCTGACAAAAAACTAACAAATAATCTTGTCCATGTTTTATGATGGGTTAAGAATTCTGCTGTGCTAGTGGGATATGCCTCCTTCAGAGATAAGAGTGGTAGTGGTGATAAAGATGATGATGATGAACAGGATAATAATACTAACAAACAACATTCAATCTCCACTTATTGCCTGGTATGTGCCAGGCACGGTTTTCTTTAGGTTTATTCATTTAAGCTTCACAAGAAACCTAGGAGATAGGGATCATTTTTAACAAATCAGAGATAATTCAGGAATTCAGGAATACATTTTACCTGGGTCATCATTTTAAGACACCTGCCTATATGGCTTAATATTAGAAACATCAGAATAACATCCAATATCTCTGTCTAGCTCCTATAGGTCATCCCACTTTGGATCTGTTGGAATGAGCTCCTTTTGGTTACTTCCACACTTTCCAAGTTCAATTCAAATCAAATACTCCCATGAGAATTACTGCGAAGTCGCTAACACATTAGCATTGCTGTAACAGTAAGAACTCTCCATTATTTTTTTATGCCAAATAAATTCTGTATTCCTTTCCCTACACGTGCAGAGGTGTACTTCTAGAAGTTCTCAAACTTTCTCAGTTTTTATTATATCCTTAGGCCAAAAGAAACATCTAATAGTCCTATTTATAATGTAATTGGTCCAAACAACTTAATGAGTATTTATTTCCTAACAATTTAGTAACCATTTGTAGAAATAAAACAAATACATTGAAAAAACATTTTATATTATATCACCATAACTACTTATTAATGGGGTGTGTGTACCTGTTGGTCACTGCAAAACTTCTCAAACCTTGGAACTGGAAACTGTCACCTTCATTTCTTGTTCTATATTGGTTTTTGTGTGACACTTGCTTTTTTCGCAGCACCATTGAAAATCTAGTCAAGAGAAATGTTGTATGATGCAATGTTGAAGTGTTGAACCACACTGAGTCTGTAGAGTGTCCAGGAAATGTCATTGTGCTTCCTTCAAGGTTTTTTAAAAATCCCACACCAACCCTGGAGTGTCCAGAGACAGCATTTGGGTTATTTGAGAGTAGTGAGAAGCTGTACTGTATTTTAGTCAAAGAGAAGGGCTTCAGGGTCAGATTAAGTAGGATGGAATTCTGACTACTACTCTTACTCTGTGACTTCTGTGATTTACCAAAGTTTATTTAACCATTCAACTGTTGAAAGTTAGCTGGGTTATATCCAGTTCTTAGCTATTATGAATAAAGCAGCTATAAACATTTATGTACAGGATTTGTGTGAACATTTATTCTTTGGCATAAATGCTCAGTAATGTACTTAGCTAGGTTATATGATAGTTAACATTAATTTTAGTTTTTGTTTGTGTTTGTTTTTAAGAAACTGTCAAGGGGTGCCTGGGTGACTCGGTTAAGTGTCAGACTCTTGGTTTCAGCTTAGGTCATGATTCCAAGGTCATGAGATGCCCCCCACCCTTCCCCTTTCTCATCCCCTCAAATTTCGTGCTCAACATGGAACGTGCCTGTCCCTTTCCCTCTGTTCCTCCTCCTATTTGTGCTCTCTCTCTAAAATAATAAAGATCTTAAAAAAAAAAAAAAAACCTGTCAAGGTGTTTCCAGGAATAGCTATTCAGTTTTAAATTCCTATCAGCAATATATGAGTAATACCATTTCTCTACATCTCAACAGCATTTCATATTTTTTTTACTATTTTTAACATAGCCATTCTGATAGGTGTGTAGTGATATCTCATAGTGATTTTCATCTGCATTTCTCTAATGGCTAAAGATATTGAATATCTCATGTTTATTTGCCATCTGTACACACTCTTTGGTGAAATGTCTCTATGTCTTTTGCCAATTTTCTAATTTTTCTTAACTGTTGAGTTTTGAGAGTCCTTTATATATCCCAGTCTTTTATCAGATATATGGGGTTTTTAAAAAGATTTTATTTATTTATTCATGAGAGACACACAGAGAGAGGCAGAGACACAGGCAGAGAGAGAAGCAGGCTCCACACAGGGAGCCGGATGCGGGACTTGATCCCGGGTCTCCAGAATCAGGCCCTGGGCTGAAGGCGGCGCTAAACCACTGAGCCACCTGGGCTGCCCCAGATATATGGTCTGCAAATATTTTCTCCCACTCTGCAGCTTGGCTTATTACCCTTTTAATAAGGTCATTCACAGAACAAAAATTTTATTTGATGAAGTCCAATTTATCCATTTTTCCTTTTATGGATCCTGCTTTTGTTGTCAAGTCTGAGAAATCTTTGCCTAGCCTTAAATCCTGAGAATTTTCTATATTTTTCTAAAAGTTTTATAGTTTTACATTTCATATATAAAAGTGTGATCAACGTTGAGTTTATTTTTCCATAAAGACTTAGGTTGAGGTTTCTTTTTCTATGGATGTCTAATTGTTTCAGCACCATTTGCTGAAAGAGCTAATTCTTTCTCCAACGCACCTGTCTCAAAAATGAGCTGAACATATTTGTGTGGGTCCATCTCTGGGCTGTCTATTCAGCTGTACTGATCTACATATCTATCCCTCCACCAATACCACAGAGTCCTGACAACTGTAGCCATATGAATCAGCTTGACATCAGGTAGATTGAGCCTTTCCCCTTTATTTTTATTTTTCAAATCTGTTAAAGCTATTCTTTCTTTTCATTTGCATATAAATTTTAGAATACTATCTACAAAAAATCTGGAGTTTAAAAATTCTGTTAAACCCATATATCAATTTGGGGAAAGTTGACATTTTCGTTAAGTTGAATCTTCCAAATGAATAGGGCATGACTCTTAATTTATTTAGATCTTTGGTTACTTTCACCTGGGTTTTGCAGCTTTCAGCATGTATGTCCTGTATATATTGTTAGATGTACTTATTTTCTGAGAAATGTTATTGTATCTTTAATTTCAGTGTTCACTTAATCATTGCAGCACATAGAAATAGAATGTATTTCTTGGATGTACTGTGTATTCTGGGACCTTGCTGAATTCATGTGTCAGTTCTAGGAGCTTTCTTCGTGGATTTTTTGGGATTTTCAAAGTAGGTAATCACATCATCCATAAATAGCAGCAGTTTTAGTTTTTCCTTTCCAATCTGTAGGCCTTTTTTTTCTTGCCTTATTGCACTGTGTTCAATAAAGGTAACAAATGCAGACATCCTTACCTTGTACCTGGTCTTAGGAAAAAGACACTCATATTTCTCCATAAGTAAAATGTTGAGGAAATTCCACTCTATTTCTAATTTTTTTTTTTTTTATGATAGTCACACAGAGAGAGAGAGAGAGGCAGAGACACAGGCAGAGGGAGAAGCAGGCTCCATGCACCGGGAGCCCGACGTGGGATTCGATCCCGGGTCTCCAGGATGGTGCCCTGGGCCAAAGGCAGGCGCTAAACCGCTGCACCACCCAGGGATCCCTCTGAGAGTTTTGTTTTGTTTTGTTTTTTTTACCATGAATGAGTCGTTGAATTTTGTCAAATACTTTTTCTGCATCAGTTGATATTATCATGTGATTTTCTTCTTTAGCCTGTTAATATGGCAAATTACATTAATTTTAAAATATGGAGCCAAGCTCGCTTCCCTCACTTGTTCATGGTGTATAATTCAT